ATTGAGCTATTGAGCGTATGCCTCTTGAAAAAGAGTAATAATTTTAGGCACAATATGTTAAGTTTTCCACAGTGATGGCCGGTGAGTGCAGTCAAATGCGTATTTGAAATCGATGAAACAAATGACGGTGCTTTTTTACATCTTATTCTCTCTTCCGTTATCAATGTTATAACCAATGTTTCAATTTTTTGCAACAAAAATTTATTGTTTTTTTGGAGGAATGTTCTAAATAAAGTAGCACTAAAATAAAGACCCATTACTACCAGAAGCGAATTTATTGACAGGTTGAAATAAAAAGAGGTACCGGGTTAAATCAAATATTGTGTTAAGGATGTATTAGCTTTTAACGAAGTGGAGACCAAAGTTTATGTAGAATCAGGTGGGCGATTACTCTAACGTAGATGGATAGGCAACTATGTAGTTTAATAAGTAAATATGAGGTTTCTGTCAATCTATTGTATTACACTGGTAACTTGAAGAGGCACATATTATCATATTTTGTTAGTTTTGTAAAGTAACAAAATTAAGTAAATCATATTTTTTATATTATTTGATAAAACTTGTTATGGTCAGTTCAGTTCTTAATGGATTATTTGACCCTGTTTGATGATAATAATATAAACATTTATGAAGCGCCCATTCGCACAGCTTCTTCAGAGACGCCCGGAGCCCGTGTTAAAAAGATGAGTCTTTAATCCCTTTTTGAAAAGACTCAACGAGGAACATTGTCTTAACTCAGGAGGTAACGCATTCCAGACATACGGAGCAGCGTGACGAAAACCGCGGCCAGCCAGGCGGGATCCGGCAACGGGAATGTTTAGGAAACCTGTTGAGCTGCTGCGGAGTGATAAGGATTTATTAGGTCAATTCGCAGCTGACATTTGATTGGCTGAGGAAAGTAGTCTATGTGTAGAATTGCAGGTGAAACACACAACACACTCCAAACACCGTTACAAACCACTCCGAAAACCACAATAAATTTCACCAACCGATGTGTCGCCAAGACCTGTAACACCACCTCCGAGAAAAAACTCGTGAAACAACGACCTCTAACAACACAAATTATCGAAAAACGATAGAGCTCCGCTAAAACACGCAGTCGCGAGACAGCGCAATAGAAAGTTTGTGTTAACCTAAAGTTTAGCCACATAAGGATTTTGGTAAACTTTAATGGGCATTATTTTATTTTTACGGCTTTATTTATTAAATTTCGGAGCTGTTAATAACTATTATTATTTATCTGTGATTAAACATGCATGTATTAAAACCAATGATTTTATATAAGTTTAACAATTTCAAAACAATCGAAATTTTGAATGTTATAGAGAGAAAATTAATTTAAAATTTAAAAATTTGTAAATGCTGTCTGATTTATGTCTTGATTTGTTCCTGCAGCTTCTGCAACAGACTAGTGCCGGCAATCTTGGATCGTCATTAGGAGGCTTAGGAAATTCTAATCTAGGTGATTGGTTAAAACGTTCAGAGAGTTTATTAACTAATTGAATCTTATAAATTTGGAATAAGATATTCATCAATGATATTTTCTAAATTGATTTAATCTTTCTATTTTAAACTTAAAAAAATGATAATGTTTAAAATTTGTCCATAATTATATATATATATATATATATATATATATATATATATATATATATATATATATATATATATATATATATACAATATTCTATAATTTCTACCGAATGTTTGGCGTTAATATGTTTGTAGTTCGTTTTATTGATTTNTTCGAAAAAACGAACTACAAACATATTAACGCCATACATTCGGTAGAATTTTTTAGAATATTGTAAAAATTATGGTTTATTACCAACAGAACTTTTGATGGCGTTTCTCCAGTAGTTGTGTGGATAGCACTCCGGTATGCCATAAGAAACAATGGTATATGACGATCCCAATTCCGTTGATTTTCGTCGACTTTAGCCAGATGTTCAATCAGGGTTTGGTTGAATCGTTTCACCATACCGTCAGACTGTGGGTGAAGAGGTGACGTTCGAGTTTTGTTTATACCAGCTTGCACATTTCACCAAACAGTTGTGACTCAAAATTTTGACCTTGATCTGAGTGGAGTTCTAATGGGACACCATATCGACTAATCCAATTGAGTACAATTTTCTAAGCGACGGTACATGCTTCTTGGTTGGGTATTGGAAACACCTCAGGCCATTTGCTGAAATAGTCCGCTACAACCAAAATGTAACGGTTTCCATAATCTGATACCGGAAAGGGTCCAGCAATATCTATAGCAATCCGTTCAAAGGGGACACCAACATTGTAGATTTGCATTGCTTCTTTTAGCCTTCTTTTGGGTTCTTTGACTGAAGCGCATGTGTTACATTTTTGACACCAGCTCTCTACATCTTCTCTAACGTGAAGCCAGTAGAATCCTTCTTGTATTTTGTCAAGGGTCTTGTTCACTCCTAAATTAAATGTCCCCCAGAAGGGCCGTCATGCATTTCATCAAGGATTTCGGTCGTTCTACTTCTTGGTATTACAACTTGCATGCGGTGTTTTGATCCATCAGCTGATTCCCATTTTCGTTTCTGCAAATCCCCTTCCAAATACAAAGAGTCCCACTGAGCCCAATAACCCTTTAACACGGCACTATATTCTGAGATGCTTTGCCAGTCCGGTCGCTTGCCCTCCTTCCATGTGATCAGATGTTGTAGGTCCTCATCCGCAAACTGTGCATAAGCAAGATCCGTCGGTGTCCAACCGTCATCCGCTGATATTGTTGTTGCTCTTATGTCTTCCGATTGTATCTTCTCCTCGTGACGACAGCAGTATTTGCATCCTGGTAAACATGGTCGACGTGAGAGAGCATCAGCATTACTATGAGTTGTTCCTTTGCGGTGCACGATCTCGAAGTCGTACATTTGTAAACGCTCCAACCATCGGGCCATCGGTCCTTCAAGATCCTTGAGGTTGAGGAGCCATCTTAACGCTGCATGATCAGTTCGGAGAAGAAATTTCTGTCCATAAAGGTACTTGTGGAAGTGTTTTGTTGCATTGACTATTGCTAGTAACTCCTTCCTGGTCACACAATAGTTTCGTTCGGGTTTTGTGAATCCTCTGCTATAATACGCTAGCACCTTTTCTTCTCCGTCTATATGCTGTGACAAAACGGCTCCGATTCCGCTGTTACTTGCATCAGTATCTAACACGAACGTCTTGCCACGAACTGGATATGCTAGCAAAGGAGCATCACATAGTTCAACTTTTAACTTTTCAAATGCTGAGTCGCATAGGGTATTCCAATATAAAACTCGGTCCTTCTCGGTAAGTTGGTGGAGAGGTCTGGCAACTTTTGCAAAATCCTTTACAAAACGTCGATAGTACGTTGCCAATCCCAGAAAACTGCGCAATTCATTTTTATTCTTTGGAGTTGGCCAGTCTTTCACAATTTCTATCTTGCTGGGATCGGTTCGAACTCCATCTGAAGATACCACATGTCCCAAATAGTTAACTTCTTTAGAAAATAACCTGCACTTTTTAACGTTCAGCTTTAAATTTGCCACCCGAAGTCTTGTGAAGATCTCTCGTAAGTTTTCGACGAGTTGATAAAATGTTCTTCCTAGAACAATTATGTCGTCTAAATAGACAAGACAGGTTTTCCAGTTAAGACCTTGCAATACACATTCCATCAGTCGCTCGAATGTAGCTGGAGCATTGCACAATCCAAATGGCATGACGGTGAATTGCCACAACCCCGATCCGATAGAAAACGCTGTCTTTTCACGATCGTTTTTGTCGATTTCTACTTGCCAGTATCCGCTTTTCAAATCAACTTGAGCCATATAGGGTGTCCATGATGTCATCAATCCTCGGTAACGGATAGCTGTCCTTTTTAGTCACATCATTTAACTTCCTATAATCAACGCAAAAACGGGTAGTGCCGTCCTTCTTCTTTACCAAAACAACTGGCGAAATCCATGGACTTGATGACGGTTTGATGACGCCTTGATTCTGCATTGTCGTTATCATTTCGTTTACTTCTGTTTGTTTTGCTAGAGAAAGACGTCGTGGTACTTGTCGGATCGGTTTCGAATTCTGAGTATCAATTCGGTGAGTTACCAGAGCTGTTTTACTTTGGTCATTGTCACTGGTTGAAAACACGTCTGCGAAATCAGCAATCAACGCCTCGGCTATTAGACGGTCTTCTTGATACAAATTAAGTTCATCCAGTAGATTTTTGGTAAGTTCTTTGAGTCTACCTTTGTCAGTTGGTAGAACCTTTTCCTGTTGCTCCATATCTAATGATTTCACCAAATTTATTGATTGACAATTACCTATTTCCTCGCCTTTTTTAATTTTAATAGTGTGTTTAGCGGTATTCATTATTCTGACAGGAATAAGACCATTTTTGTTCGCTTCTACCAAGCATTTTCCAATGACCGCGTTCTGTACATTTGTCGTTGAGGTTGGCTCCATCAAATAGAACTGGTGGCCCCCAGGATCGCAATTCAACTTGCCCCATACAATGTTTTCAGATGATTGAGGTAGTACTATGTCACAATCGACTGTCACTCGAATGCATTTTTTGTCGCTATCCCCCATTATCACTTCTGTATTTCTCCATCTAAGAATGCGTTTTTCTAAGTCAATTTTGAACCCATATTTTGTCAGAAAGTCGACACCTATTATGCATTCGTCGATGATATCCGCGACTAAGAATGAACCTTCGAATAACAAGTCGCCTAGCTGAACAGTACGGAGAATCTTTCCATAGACTGGTGCTGTTCCTCCGGTAGCTGTTCGAAGGATGTATTTGTTAGAAGTCTCTTTCTTCAGATTGGGTACCAAATCAGATCTTAAAATCGATTTTGTTGCTCCGGTGTCGACTGTAATTACACATTCTCGTTGATCAACTTTTCCGTTCAGCCATAAGTCGTTTCGATTTCGATGTAGTCTGGAAACGTTAATTACGGTACTGGGGGCGTCAATTCTACTAGCCAACCTTTGCCCCACAAAGTTGGCTCTTATTAGTTTTCCGCCCCTTCTAACGAAGGGGCCGATCGTGATACAGGATCATCTTCTCTTCTTTTGCGCCATCTTGTCGCGCAATTTCGGAAGTAGTTATCTTTTAGGCGGTGTTTACAATCACGACGTAGATGGCCTTTTTCACCACAAATCCAGCATTGGGGTACACCATGCTGTTGGGGTTCGCGTTTCACAACCACCTTCTGGCAAGAACATTATTCATGTACTTGGCGTAGACGTACGTCACTTTTTGATGCTTGCTTTGCCGATTCAAAAGTGAGACTGTGCGCAACGGCATCCTTGAGTTTTCGTTTATCTGACAAGAGAAGGGATTGCTTGAGTTCCGAATCACGAAGGGCTTTGATAAACGTATCCAGGGCAGTTTCGTCTCTATGCTCGTTTGGACTGTTCCTTGATCTGTTGTTTTAACTGTTCTGTCTGCCGTTCGGAATGTCGTTCGGACTGTTCTTTGATCTGTTTTAACTCTTCTGTCTGTCGTTTGGACTGTTGTTCGGACTGTTCTTTGATCTGTTTTAACTCCTCTGTCAGTCGTTCGGACTGTTCTTTGATCTGTTCGAACTGTTCCTTGATCTGTTGTTTTATTTCAGTTGACATACTAAGCAGAAGTTCCATCATTTTAGCGGTTGTGCCTGTGCTAATTTCGTTGTCTTCGTCAGCACCATCAAACTTGAATTCGTCTGGGTTCTTACCTTCGTCAATGAGAGCTTTTCTCAGACGTGCTACTAGTACTTCTTTGTTGCCCTTGTGACAAGGCTTCGTTTCTGTAGTTCTTCTCGTAGTTGAACTACGTTTAACCCACACAGTTTTGACATCGTGTTCTTTTTCTACGAGTAGGTAATTCGCTGGTCGAAGATCCCACTTCTGACACCAATGTTATAATACTCGCTGTCGTAACCGATTTACGATGCGACGGGTTCAAATCCTCGATTGAATAAAATATTCCAAACAGTTATTAACCTTTATTTACAGAAGAAATCAACTATTATTAGTTATTAAACTTTATTTACAGAAGAAATCAACTAATCGTTGATTTCCAGTAAATTCAAACTAACGCAACAATTAACTTTTAAATCGTTCAAAATCTATCGCTATGACAACGTCAACAAACAAATCAAATATCGCTTTAAATAATTCACCGAATCGCTATTCACAAAATCACGAATTTCACTAATCACGAATATCACTAATCACCTTGCGACGTGCGCTTATATACTCTTCGCAAGCGTCGTTTCTAGATTCTTCTAGATGGTCCGATTCTAGCATACTCTAGAATGCTCCAGTCACTAGAACATTCTAGAATACGCTAGAACTTAGTGCGTTCGGTAGCACATTTATAACAATATATATATATATATATATATATATATATATATATATATATATATATTTATTTATTTATTTATATTTATAGGTATGTTCATATATTTATATATTTTATTCAATTATATATATATAAATATTTGTATGTATTATTAGAGAATTTATAAACGTTTTTAAAGGAAAAACCCTCAGTAAGTACAAATAAATATACGAGAAAAAACCATGTTACGCTGTGATAACAGAAACTAATTTGGCAGATGATATTAACATAACAATTAATATATATATATATATATATATATATATATATATATATATATATATATATTGTATGGTTTTTTATCATCGTTTCATCGTTTTTTAATTTATATAGAAAACAAAGATTTTAACAACTTTTTTATTCATTTTTATCTTATACTGAAAGAGCTTTTTTTTGGTAATCCTTTACCATTTTCAGTGTAGTATGTTATCAACTATTGGTTGTATTTTATATATACTTATATCTGCGTTTCTACTTTATTGGCTCTAATAATTTACTTTGTTTTGATTTATTGTTTTTTATTTGTAGTTTCTGTTGTATATCTGTTACAGGGTTCTCGGGTTCTTTATGTTTATGCAAAGCGCTTCTGCAATTTTAAGTTAAAAAGTATTTCTTTTGCGAGACAGTATCTTTGTGTTATTGTTGAGTATCTCTCTAGTATTTATTTTTATTTATTTTATTTAGAAACATTTGTATAGCGCAAATTAATTATTTCAAAAGCGCTATCAAAAATAAAATAACAAAATAACTGTGCATGATTGATATAAATCAAAATATTCAAATTCATTGTTTTTCCACAGAAAATAAGTATGTTTTTAATTCCCTTTTAAATGTCACAAAGTTAATTCCAGATCTTCTTAATGAAACTGGTAGGTCATTCCAGACTGTCGGACCTGCGACCGCAATATCTCTCGCACCTATTCGTAGATGCCTAGTAATTGCTATGTATCTTAAAATCAAACTAATCGTTTTTACAATGCAAATAATCTGTTTGCTTGGTGTACATATATATTAGACGTAAGCTTTTACATATTGATAAATTACAAATCTTGAATTATCGAGTACTACAGACTTTTTTCATATCCAAAATCTATATATCGATACCAAAATTTCAAGTTTTCGATCCAGACCGACATTGAGAACGTTCTTATATGAATTACAAGATTTGATATCGTAGTAATAAAATAATTTTTTGCTACAGATACAATTTCAGTTCTTATTACGTTCTCGTTACACATTGAGAAAAGGAAAAATCTTTAGTTACTTTTTTTTGTTACGCCTTGTTTACATCCATTATCTTAAATCTCATTGGTCGAATAAATCAGTAAAATATATAAAAAAATTCATACAAAGCGTTTCGACGTGCATGTGATTTAAACACTTTTCCAAGTGTATTACAACGTATAATATATATACAATTTATTTTATTAACCATTGAGCTTTTTGTCTATATATTTATTTTTTTATTTGTCTTTTATTTATTTTTATTTCGTTTATTTATTTAAAACCAAAACAATTGTCAATTAAGTGATCTACTGAGACCCAATAAAAATAATATTTGTATAGGGCACCGTGTCACTACAAAATACAACATTAAACATATAAAGTAAGGTATCCGGCTTTTTGTACAAATTAAAATGATGGAAACTTAGAAAAGAATAATGAATTATGTACAATAAATATTTATGGAGGTATCAGAAACACACGAATAATTATACATGGCAAATCAAGATTTCATATCAACATTTATATATATATATATATATATATATATATATATATATATATATATATATATATATATATATATATATATATATATATATATATATATATATGTATGAAGGAGATCATATTTTATACAGTAGTGTATGAATTCTACCAAATTATTGGCATTAACCAATTTAAAGATTGTCTTTTCATTTTGCCTTACTAGAATTTTTTTTGATGATGAATTTGGATAACAACAGTTTTTTTTAATTTTCATGATGAAATTGGATAATAATACTATTTTCCATAAATTGAACAATTTCCAGAAAATTCTAGTAAGGAAAGTAAAATTGAAAGGCAAACTTTAAATTGATTAATGCCAACAATTCGGTAGAATTCATACAACGCTGTATAAACAATTATATTTATATAATAGGGTTTTACGGTGGGTCAAAAGTTTAATTTCATAAGTATGACAGTTTTTTTTGTTTCTTTTGATTATTTTATAAATAAATAATTTGTGGCTAATAATTTGTGTAGGTCTTAATGCAATCCAAATGCAACAGTTGTTAAATGTTGCTCAAACAATACCTGGATTTCATACCAATCCCGGTTTGATACTTTTATTTTTATTCAGTTTTATTCCATTTTTGTAAACGTAAATGTACATTTTTGCGTATTGTGCCTGTTTTACTTGTTTTCTATAATCTAGAATACTCTATAAGTGATATTTAAAAATTTTTGTATAATTATTTCTTTGTGTTTAAAACTTTGTCTTTTATAGCAATATTTAAAGCAGGCAAATAGTTAACATGAGATGTTTTAAATACACGACTTGAAAAGTTGAAAATATTGCAAGGTATGTAATTTAATCTGCATTTTACTTTGACAGCAAAATCTGTAAAAACTCTTAAAAATAACAGAATGCCTAATTCTTTCCTATACCGATTAGAAAATATACACAATTACAAAAGTAAATTATACCGACATTTGGAACTATTTTACACAGTACAGCGATTACCAGATGGTTGCTAGGTAAAACATCTATAGTTTACCGCAATCAACCATTTAAAACAACTATAAAGACGCTTGCTTCATTATATTAATTGAAAACTAAACATTAAAAATCAATAAACAACACTTCAAACATTAAGATCACCCAAGGACTACAAAAATAGTAATACTACTATAATAATAATAATACTATAAGTATTAGCAATATGTTTAGCAATAAAAATAACGACAATAAAGAATAAAATATTGTTAGATTATTTGTTTAGGAAGAATGTTATATAAACAAAAACGTTATCAATATTGTTATCAATGATTATCATCAGAAAACATTTAGACATTAGATATGTCTTATCTGCATATTCTGCATCATGCGTATCCAGCGGGGCCACGCTTTTTTCAAGATCCTCAAGCCTGTCCAGTCTTTTCAGTATGTAGTCCAGAATGATGTTGAATAAAATCGGCGATAGAATACAACCTTCTCTGAAACCTTTATTATCTGGAGCCCTTAGCTTCTTCCACATTTTATTATCTCTGGTACCAGATAACTTCTTTATGTTGTTGATCAGTTTTCTGTTGTACCCATTTTTCAGTGCAAGTTTGGTTTATATAGTTTCTTTAAACGAAGCAAAGTTTTTTAGCAAAGTTTAGTAGTTTGTATCGTAATCTTCATCTACATTGTTGTCATTCCTTTGTTCTTCATTATTATTGAAGTTATATTATGGCGTCGAGTTGGTAATGATGTTATCATTCTTTGTTGGATTTTTATTTGGGGTTTATTGGTATATATTAGGACAGCATCTGCAATTTTTAAATGTATTGTGTTGTCAAGAATTTGGCTGGTTATTGGAGTTGCATGTGTTGATTGCAAGTGAGGTTTAATGGCTCCTCTTTGCGTATACATTGTTTGAGAACAACTTCGTCTATTTTATTTGTCGTTGTTGTTTTTAAATATATTACTATTTTGTTGTAGTCTTTGTTGAATGAATGATGTTTTGTAACCATTGCTTACTAGTAGATTAGTAATTCTTTTCAGTTCCGTATTGTGATCTTCAGTTGAGGATGAATGCCTGAATGCACCGTTCACAAAGGATTTTATTGCTCTTACTTTGATTTGTTCCGTACATTCATTTAACCCATTTAAACAGATACCTTTATTTGTTACTTTGACGTTTACGGCAGTTTTAATTCTTTGTTCGTCATGCGTTACCAAAACATCGTGCTCGATTTTGAAATTCAATTTTGATTGGTTCAAGGTTGCTAGTAGCTGGTTGACTTTTTCCGGATCATTGTATGTGACGAAGATATTGGGAACATATCTGGCTTAAATTTTTGTTTTTAATTCCGGATTTTCTCTAAACGTTTTGCTCTCTAGATGTCCTAAAAAGAAATTTGCGAACAGATCACCAAGTGGTGAGCCCATAGTTACACCGTCAATTTGCTTGCCTGTAGTTATGTGAAAAGGTGCTTCGGTGGTGCAGATTTGGAGAAGAGGTTTTCGATGTGTTTTTGTTTTGTTTATTTTTAAAGGGACCATGTTTAAGTGATAAACACTATTAATGATAATATCAATTGTGCCATGGACGGGAACATTTGTAAACAGAGATTCGACATCCAGAGAAGCAACATGAATTGATGGTTTGTTAGTGTTCAATAGATTGATAAATTTCCGTGAGGATTGGAGATTAAAGTTACTAGGAACGTATGGGGTATATGTTATGCTATATTTTGCAATAGGGTATGTTACTGTTGGAATTTGACTGATGAAAGGTCGAAGGGGGTTGTTATTTTTGTGCGTTTTAATGTTGCCATAAGGTATCCAGGTGAGTATTGCGTTGAGTTTAGTCTCTAGGCGAGGAGTTGGGTCTTTTGGGATTGCTTGAAATTTCGTTCTGTCGTTGAGTAAATGTTCGATTATGGTGTGTAGTTAATTTGTGTTTGTGTGTATATATATATATATATATATATATATATATATATATATATATATTTATATATATAAACTTCATTAAACATTTTTGCCCATTTTG